TTCTTTATAAAAAAAAAAAATCTTTTCGTTTTCTGAAAAAACTCATGGACAATTTAAATTTCCTAACCTCCAATCAAGTTGTCTATTCATGATGCCAAGAACTTAGGTATTATGGGTCCGTGTTTCATATAAAAATGCTGTTACAGCCAGGATTCTCGTAACAAGCATAATTCATAGAAGCACTGTTGTTTTGGTCAACAAATTAAGCGTACAAAAAAAAAAGGCTTTCTAAGCCATCACTTTAGGTGGGAAATTCTTGAAATATATATATATGTATATGATAAGTGGATCGTTACATCACTGTTTCTTCTTGTATTTCTGAGGATCGACATTCCTGATTAATTCAAATGACTTGTTAAAATACATACCGAAGCAGAATTTCAATTTATAGACTGTAAAATGTTATAGCCTATTTAAATTTCAAACGCGAATGTTTTGGTAAAATTAATTCAAATGACTTGTTTTATTACTACTAATATTGCTAGTTACAGCAACAGAGCCAGAAACTCTTATCAACAGAGACTACTAATAAGTAAAATAATAATAAAGTTATAAGACTAAATTTTTAATGTTTAGTAGGGATTATGCGCATATTGATATAAAATTACATACTTATATTTATTTAAATGTTTTTTTTAGAAAAAAATAAGTTGAGTAGGGGTATGAGCTCCACTAAACCCCAATTGATGCTCCAATAAGCATAACTAGAAGTTTTCTTACAATTTAAGTGCAGGAACAATTTTAACAGGCTGTTTCAAGTTTCAACCCTATAGAAAGAACCATTGACCTTTCTTTACAGAACAATCATCTTCTTCTTGCCCTTTAGGAATGTTTTGGAGCCATAAAAAATAAAGTCCATTCATAGACAACCGACCCAAAAATAGTGCTTAAAAAATGGTTGAATGGACAACTTGTTACCATTTCCTAACTTGGGTTTTTCTTGTACTAAACAATTCCCTTGTCCTTTTCAAAGTATCTGACTTTTCGTCACAATAAGATCCTTCTCTTCATTAAGTTTCCATTAGAAGTCATTTAACACTATTTTATAGTGTTGACAGGCAGATTCTCTGTAAAAAATGGAGAATGAAAAACAAAGTAAGAACAAGGAAAAGAGGTAGATTTTGATCAGAGAGAAAAGGGAAGTTATAGTGAAGTTTGGAGTGTATTTTTTAAACGTGTCCTTTTCCAATTTTTCTTGCTCTAATATGTAGAATATAGATTCTGCAGTGGAAGAATCTTTTTTTTTTAATTTTTTTAATTTTTATAATTACTAATCCTTCTTTCCATGCTCTTATCCATTTCAATTGAAAACAACATGTATTAAAAAAAATTCAGGTTCAACTTAAGAGTACCAATAGTTAACTCTCATGTCTTTCTTTTAGAAGAAAAAAACCACCTTCATTTCATAGCCTAATCTACCATTACAAGCTCTCAACCATGGCGGTGTCATACTCCTCGTTTCGAGTTATCTTTCTCCTATTTTCATTGTTTGCCACGCTCAACATGGCACAAACTTCATCAAGCGCCATGGCCACAAACTTCTCATGCTCAGCAGATTCCTCTCCCTCGTGTGAAACATACGTGGCGTACTTTGCGCAGCCTCCGAATTTGAGAGACCTTGGAAACATATCTGATCTTTTCGGAGTCAGCAGAGCATCGGTTGCCAAAGCCAGTAACATCACTCAAAGGAGAACCAGTTGGTTCCTCAACAGCTTTTTCTCATCCCTGTGACCTGTACATGCACAGGAAACCGCTACTTCGTCAATATCTCATATCAAATCCAGAAGGGTGACACTTACCACAGTCTTTCAACCGTCACTTTCGTGAATCTCACAAATCCCAGCGTGTTGGAAGACTTAAACCCCGGAATAGACCCAAATTTCTTGCTGTCCGGCATCAACGATATAGTTGTTCCTTTATTCTGTAAGTGCCCTTCTAACACATACTTGAAAAATGGAATTCAGCATCTTATAACTTACGTTTGGCAACCCAATAATGAGGTCTCCAATGTGAGTTCCAAATTCAATGCCTCTATGGATGATATCGTCCGCGAGAATCAGTATCAGAGTTTTAGGAGTGCAGTTGATCTTCCTGTTTTAATTCCCGTGTCGAAATTACCCGTGCTTCCTAGAGAAAAATCTCCACATAAAAGCTCAAGATCCAAACAACAATGGATCCTCATAGGAGTTGAGAGCCTTGGAGGTGCTTTGATGATTGTGATCTTGGCAACTTTGGTGGTTTATTCCCACAAGTTGTTAAAGAAAAGGAGGAAAATTCTTGATGAAAATCGCAATTTTGAGCATAGGATAGTAATTCCGGATAAACGTCTTTCTGGGGTCTCGAGAGTATCTAGGCAAGCCAATCATGTACGACAGCAAAATGATCATGGAAGCAACGATGAACTTCGACGAGGAGAACAAGATTGGCGGGTCAGTTTACAAAGGAAAATTTGATGGAGAGGTCTTTGCTGTTAAGAAAACCAAGGAAGATGTTACAGAAGAGCTTAATCTTCTTCAGAAAACTAACCATGTAAATTTGGTGAATCTTATGGGGGTTTCATACGACACAGATGGGAATCTCTTCTTGGTCTATGAGTATGTTGAGAATGGATCATTAGAGAAGTGGTTGCACTTTAAGCCCTCTGTCGTATCAGCATCTTCTTCGAGCTCGATGGGATTCCTCAGTTGGAGTCAGAGAATTCACATAGCGCTAGACGTCGCCCATGGCCTGCAATACCTTCATGAACACACTCAACCAAGCATTGCTCATTGGAACATTAGGGCCAAAAACAATACTTGTTGACTCGAGATTCAGGGCGAAGATCGGGAATTTCGCCATGGCTAGGCCTGCAGGCAACCCTCGATGCTCAAGGTCGATGTTTTTGCATTCGGGGTCGTCCTAATGGAGCTGCTCTCAGGGAAGAACGCGTTGCAAACAAAAAAAATGGTGAGGTTGTTATGTTGTGGAAAGAATTAGGTAAGATCTTGGAGGAAGAAGAGAAGAGAGAGGAGAGGCTTAAGAAATGGATGGATCCAAACTTGCAAAGCTTTTATCCCATTGATGGGGCTCTGGGATTGGTAGCTTTGGCAAAGGCTTGTACTCAGGGGAAGTCCTCGGCGAGGCCGAAAATGGCCGAAATCGTCTTCAGCCTCTCGGTTTTAACTCAGTCATCTGCTAAGGCACTTAAACTTAGATCTACAAATTCTGGTGGAGATCCATATAGCATTGTTCAAGTTATCACTCCAGTCAGTGCTCGCTGATTTGGTGAGAAGAGAGTAATTCAATTGATAAAGTCCTTGTAAAATTCACACAAAAAAATTGGTTACTAATTTGGTTATTCTTTTCTTAATTAACCAGTATGGGGTTATTTTGTCTTGTTTGTTTTTCTTACTTTTCTTCCACGTTTGATACAGCAAATAAAGAAGGGATAGTGTTTGTTTGTGATACCTATTAAAAAACAAAGGTTTTTTTTTTTTTCTTTTCAACTCAGTTTTGTCATTGACTATGCTAAGTTATTTCAGTTGTAATATGCTTGTTTTGTGCTTTCTGGCTTCTTTGTTTGTTCATAATCTATGGCAATAGTATTTTTTATTATGCGAGCATTTGAGGGAAATTTGTCTATCTGGAAAGGGACAAAATGCTTTATACAGAATCTAACTTAGTTTCTGATTCCTTAGAATCTAAATTAGTAACTATGAGGATATGCAATATAGCACTCTTGAATCTTGATCATCAGAAGATTATGCAGGGGACAGCCAAATTTTTATGTAATTGACTTTGATTAATTTTAGTTTTGTTTGTAATCGTCAGTTAAACTAAAATAATTAATATCTTAACTGAAATTGGTGATACTATAACTTGATGTAGCTGATTTTTTTAGTTGCATTTTTAAGAATTCTGTTAGTAAATTCAATGGAATAGAAAATTAATTAAACCGTGCGGTTTTTACCCAACTTTTAGTTCTAGTACTTTTTCTATTTTGCTTGTTGTTTGGAGAATTAATACTCTTATTTTTTAACTGTTAAATTTAATTAAAATCACAATAAACATATTTTAAATTTTGATACAAAATGCCGGTTAAAAAGTAAGGGGCTGTTCGGGCATAGCATTCTTGAGTGAAAAACTCAAAAAAAATGTAACTCAAGTTACAATTTTATTTGAGTTCATGCTTTTCTAAATTTGAACTCGAGTTTGAGACACGTTTGGTTCATAAATTAGAATCATGAGATTAGAACCATTTTTGATTTGCGTGTATTTTTTGTGAGAGAAAATACTGTAACGAACCATGAACTGTGATTCGAATCAGGGTACAAATCCCCTTACCAAACGTCACATAAAACTCGAGTTCAAGTTTCCATTTCAACTCGAGTTCAGAAACTTGAACTCAAATTAATGAACAATATTTTTTTATTCTTAAAAATGCTCTAATTTTTTTGTTTTATTTCTAATTGAGATGATTTTTTTTCTATGCGTTGACAACAAAAAGACGAATAAAACCCCACCCATATACCCTATTAAAATTTTCCATCAACATTGAGTTTTTATTAAAATACTATCTAAATACAAATTCAAGTTTTGACTAATTCAAATACAAACTCAAAAATATTTTTATCTCAAACCATAACTCAAATGTGCACAACCAAACACAAATTCAAATTACAACTTCAACTCAAGTTATAATTTAGGCCTCGTTCACTTCGCTGATTCGAGTTTAGAATTTGAGTTGAGATGTGATTTTATGTGAGAGCTTTTTACTGTAGCAAAAAAATTAGATGTGATTGTTTGTGAGAGCTTTTTACTGTAGAAAAACTCAAATTCTAAACTCGAATCAGCGAAGTGAACGGGACCTTAAACTCAACTTAAAATCTACACTCAAATTACACTCAAAAACGTCAAAAGAACATGCCTAAGATATTAAACAAGATTTAAAAAGAGTGAATGTCAGCTTCTAGAAGCCGTTGACCTATCACCAAAACGACTTTAGTTTCTTACATCTTCCAAAACGTTCAAGAGAGAGAGAGAAAGACAATGGCATCATCCACAAAGCTACACAGCTTCTGTTCTCTGGCCATGGCTGCCCTCTTCCTTTACTCTGCCTCTGTGCAGCTAAATGACCCTGGTAATTTCTCACCCCCTTTTTCCTTCCTTATAATTGCCAATACAACTATTTTACCTTTTTTTTTTTCTCTTTTTTTCTTTTTATGTGTGTAATAAATAGATTGGTACTTTTGGCTTCCTCTATATTCTGGCGCTTGTATTGTTAATCTTCTGAACTGTATCATCTCCTCCAAACCAATCAAGAATCTCGCCGAAGCTACGTTGTTCCTTGGAAATTTTCTGTTCATCAAGGTTGTTGTGGAAGATTTTAGGAGTGGAATATCTGGTTTCTGGTCATTGAATTTGAGTGAAAGAGTTACAAGGGAGAAAATTGGAAGTGGGTTGGTAATAATCTCAATGGCTTTACAGTTATTGAGATCAAATTCTCCACAAGTTTCCGTTATCAAGCACAGAATTAAGTTTCCAAGATACATTGATTATGGTGAGATCTTAGGACTAGTAATTTTTTTTTTTCCTTGTGTTCTTTTATGTTCATTTTTTGTTAAAGGTTCAGAATCTTTTGAGTAATTTAGGACTTGTTTTTTTGAGTGAAAAATTCAAAAAAAGGTAACTGAAGTTACAAATTTATTTGAGTTCATGTTCTTTTAAGTTTAAACTCGAGTTTAAACTCAAGTTTAAACTTGAGTTTATGACTAAAACTCAAGTTCAAATTTCTCCTTCAACTCGAGTTCAGAAACTCGAACTTAAATTAATGAACAGTATTTTTTTTATTCTTAAAAATACTATAATTTTTTCGTTTTAATTCTGATTGAGATGGATTTTTTTCTATGCGTTGACAACAAAAAGACGAATAAAACCCGACCTATATACATTATTAAAATTTTTCATCAGCATTGAGTTTTTATTAAAACACTATATAAATATAAATTCAAGTTTTGACTCACTCAAACACAAACTCAAAAGATTCTTATTTCAAACTATAACTCAAATGTACACAATTAAACACAAACTTAAGTTACAAATTCAACTCAAATTATAACTCAAATTCAATTCAAGAATTATACTCAAGTTATAACTCAAATTCAACTCAAGAATAATATTCAAGTTAAACTTCAAAAGAACAAGCTTTTAGTTTTCAATTGTTTTGTTATTTGATTAAGAGATGATAGTTTTGTTGTTTTAACAGGAATGGCGATCTTGGTAGGTTTCAGTTATGGGCTTCCCTTTGTCTTCTTTCGGTTCAGAAACGTCAAATGAGTTTCGGGTAATCTTGATAAATACTTTTTAAAAATGCATGAGTCATAATTTTTATTATTTATTTTTAATTTATAACTTTTTAAGTTAAATAATTAAACTAATAAAAGAGTATTTATAAAAGTAAGAGATAAAAGTACAGATTCACGCACTCTCAATAGTAAATTATATATATTTTTTTCATGAGGTTTTTGATTAAAGAGAGTAGGTCCTTTTTTTTTTTTTGGCTAAGAATAAAGAGAGTAGACATTGAATTGGGAAATTTTCGCTTACTTGATCATTCATGTACTTGATTTTGATGGAACATTAGCTCCTTTCGTTTCGTTAATTCAAATTGCAACTCAAATTTTGATATAGTATTTTTTTGACAAAAATTCAAATTTAACATTTTTTGTTATGATGTCTTCTCTAACATAAATTTACTTCTTAATTTAAACGAGCGAAACGAACGAAGTCTGAATGTAGAGATTACAATATTTTACATAGAGATCAGTCCTGCAGAGACCCGCCTCAAAAGATGCTCGGATGGGGACAATATCTTGTCCCTGAGTTGTGTCGGCGAGAGGAAGAAAAAAGAACTCTTGCCCGGTCTGCGCCTCGATATAATATTATTTTTTATAAGAAAAATACTCAAAACACCATTTGTATTTTATCTAAATACTTCTTTTGCTTCTCTTATTATACAAATTTTCAAAACACACCCACTGTGTTAATAAAAGTATACTCAAATTACTTCTAAAGCAATTAAGTTTTTAAAAATACCAAGATCACCCTTTTCAATTTATATTAAATGTTATTTTTATATGATTTAGTTAAAAAGTTAAATAAGAAAAGTTTAAATATGTTCAAATATAAATTCCTATCAAACAAGTGCTTCAATTTATTTTGAAAGTTTTTCGTTCTTTAAAATTGATTTTATTTAAGATTTCGTTTAATAATGTCTTAAATTGTCTTTAATAAAGGTTGGGAAGAATAATCTTGGTATTCAAAAAAATTAACTGTTTTAGGGCGTCTTTTCAATATATTATAAACATGGAGGGTGCTTTAGATATTTGTATAATAAGTGGGAGCAAAAGTAAAACCACAAGGAGTGTTTTGGGTGTTATCTCTTTTCTAAATGCGTAAATAAGTTTTTATACAATATGAACTACTTAAACGTAATTAGCACTTTATGGCTTTATTACTAAAATTTGATTTTCATTCGTTTAGAATATGTTTTACTTGTGAAACTTTTGACTTTAGTGTTAATAGAATTTTGGCTTTATTTCTTTTTAAATTGTTATAATTTTGAAATGCATATTAGTTACATTAGATGGAAAAGGCTCCGATGGGAAATTGACTCCGACTGATCCATCTCTCTTGAAGTGGGCTTGTGGTGTGTATGGGGATAGTTTTGCGGCAGATATGGGGACGGGGCAGAAATCATGCACGGAGGTAGTGCATTTTAAGCCCCCACTCAAAATTATATATATATATATATATATATTAAAATCATATATGTATAATTGTGTATCAAACAATATTGATATAAATTAACCCCATTAAAAATAAATCTTACAGCTCTTAATATAAAATTAATCTAATTAGTCCCCACTGAAATAAATTTCTGGCTCTGTCACTAGTTGAAATTATTGTCGCCTCCCCCTGCCTCATTTTCATCTCTACATGATTCAAGGATGTTCTTTAATTTTTATAAGTTTGAGTACAAAATTTTTACTGAAATAGTGAAATTAATTTTTTAAGAAAAAAATACTATAGTAAAAATATTGAATGATGATTCAAAACTATAATAAAAATGGGCCTCAGAATTTATGCTGCCAATACGAGTTTTGGAGGTACCGGAAGTTGAGATTAGATTTTGCCTTCATCCTCGTTCTGTTAAAAATACGATGATATCTTTCTAGAAACGACATTGAGGCCATGTTTGGTAAAAATACAGTGTTTGGTGTCGTAACGTATTGTATAACGGGTTAAAATATAAAATTTTAATAATTTAGGGGTCAAAATGCAATTTTTTTAAAAAAATTTTAGGGGCCAAAACATAATTTTTTCAAAAGTTTTGGGATCAAAATAAAATTTTATAAAAATTTTGGGGCAACTTGTAATTTTATAATAGTTTTAGGGTCAAAATGTAATTTTTTATGAATATAAAATTTGCATTGTGTCCCCTAAAATTTTCAACAATTATAGGTCCCGGTATGATCCTATATCAGCCCGACCCCAACCTCTAGTCGTATCCAATTCCGACATGAATCATTGATCCATTATGAAGTAATACAATACAATACGTCAAAAATGAGCCATATTGAATAATACGACATAGACCGTATTAATTGACAATCTGTATTAGTTTATACAATACGATAGTCATACCAAACATTATATTATACAATGCTGTAATACGGTCAAATAAATATGCCCTGAATGGATAAACAACATTTATTAAAATACTTATGTGGCCCGTTTAGTTCGCTAATTCGAGTTTTTAATTCGAGTTGAGATGTGATTTTATGTGAGAGCTTTTTACTATAGCAAAAAAGTTAGATGTGATTGTTTGTGAGAGCTTTTTACTGTAGCAAAACTTGAATTCTAAACTCGAATCAGTGAAATGAACGGGGCCCTGTTTATTGAATTTTCTATTAGGGGCAAAAAAAAAAAAAGAAAAAAAAAGAAAAAAAAAACCCTACGGCCTATGATCTCAATTTCTATTGAGCCGGCGCTGCATCAAAGCAATCGATCAAGATGCAATCTAAAAGGCCAACAATCTCATAGGATCCTAGCTAGCTATAGCCTGTAGATATATCATATACTGTGGGAGAAAAATCTTCTCAAAGTCGCTGTTTCACTCTTATAACACGGCTAATTATATAGCCCAAGACTTTTTTCTGATCAAGTTCGAAATATTTCACTTCTTCCAAATTTCTTCAATTGAATTAGATCAGTGGTCTCCAAAGAGTACTCATTAGGATTGTGAGTTTTCTTCTTCTCACACAAACCAAGAGTGTAAACAAGAAAACTTGCCATACAAAGAATAAGAATAGCACCCGCCGAGCTAGTTATAACTGCGATGAGTGGGTTGAGACTAAGTAATAGCTATCTCCCTTCTTGATGGTATAGCTAAACAAACACATACGGTTTTTATCCGTCATTAAATAAATATTAAACGACGGTTTATAAACAAAACCGTCATCTAAGATATTCCCAAAATGACAATTTTAACGGTTAAGGAGCACATTTAACGATAGTTTCTTCATAAAACGTCGTTAAGAAAATATATAGCTATAGTTTTAGTTAAAAACCGTTATTATATCTGCTTTATGCACCAAAAAAATGGGTGCTGTTTTATTACTTTTCCCGTGGGTTGGCCTATTAATCCCGTGATTTATCAGCATTTTAGCCACATAATTAGCACACGTCACAAGTCACAAAACATAAACAAATTAATTTTACATATATTCAAATCAAAATGTATACATAAATTAAATTATATGTCACTTTACAATATGCTATATGTACCTTTACAATATATGTCCCTTTACAAAATGTGCCTATTCATTTATAACTTCCACCAAATGCTCATTAATATATGCCTCTATATTTTTTAGATCATTAATACCGACTCTCATTATATCTCGCATATACCGTAAGACGAAGAACCCGCATTCTTTGTTCCCTTCTTGTGTCGGAATTTTTTGATAATGAATAACAAATTTTAGTACATGAAAAATGGTATTCCTTAAGTTCGAGTAATTCAATAAACGAAATTATGAACACTTACCTTTGGTATGATAAATTTTGTGAACCCATCTGCATGGCATTCAAACTCAAGCCTTGTTTACGCCCAACCAAGTAACACACTAATAAATAAGGCATAGAGCAAGGGAAATGCATGTCACAATAAAGTTTTCCAAACTAAAGTTTGAAAATGAGACACATTTAAAAGCATATAAAATCTTAATATAGAATCCTAAAAAGGAACCAAAATGAAAAACAAAATAAAGCTTTTGGGCAAGTAGTAAAAGAGAAAAAGGATCAAAATGAAAAAATAAATAAGTTTTAAAACAAAAGGAACTAAAATGGAAAAGAAAAAATTTTAGGGTAAAAGGAATAAAAAGGTCAAAAAGTGTGACGACCCTTCTCAGTGGCCGTCACTGTAGCTAAATTTTAACTTGTACTTACTGAAATTTTCTTAGAATTTACGGAACATTTTTTTTTTAAAGTCTTATAGTAACATACACTATGAATTGCTTTCTTGGTCGAAACATTCAAACCTTAATATATATATATATATGATTATCAAAACATGTAGATATATCTATATGTATATACCTGCTCTTTAAATCCTGCTTACTAATAGCTATATCCACAAAACCATTTAACATATAGTTTCAGAATAATAGTTAGCAAAACTATTTGTAACATAAAACTAATTGTGGAAATATTTGCGAGCGGTATCCATTTCCCGATCTCCACATCGTTCGTCCACTCGCTGTCAGTCCATTAGGCATTATATGCCGGTTGCTTACCTACAGTATAAACATTCTATAATGAGCTTTCGGTCAGCAAGTAGGAACTATCTCTCGTAAAAATAACTGTAAGTTCACATGAATAAATATGCATGAGCTGATTATGCTTAATTATGATGTCTTATCATAGTCTTATTATCTTATCTTATCTTTTCTTACTTACTTATGGGCCGGAGTGCTCGTACCACTTGCGCGCAATCATCGGGACGTGAGGGTTTGCAAGGTCCCCCATGACACTGTGATTATAACTGAACTGAATGCCTCCCTCTCAGAGGACATTATTATTTTTTTTCCTTTCTTCTCCCTTGGGAGCCTGAGTTACCTCCCTCTCAGAGGCTGGTAAGGCACTCAACTGAGATTATTCTTATAAATTCTTCTTGACTTATTAAAGTGTATGAAATATGACATAACATAGCATACTATAACATGAAATGTACTCAAACACATATAATTAGTGCGCATTGCTTAAGTGTATGCAGCATGACATAACATCGCATACAATACTGAAAGCATAAACATGCATATATAACATGTGTAACTTTTTCTTTAAAATCTATTCATACTGTAGGCGAGATTCCTACTTACCTGATTTACAGAGTTGGAATTCACTTTTCGCCAAACAACCTAGTCTCTTACTTGCTTACTTCTGAAAATGAACACCCATTAAGAGTGTCAGATTAACTGTCGTTTGCTATTTTATTCTAGCAACTCATGAAGGAAAATCTAACCCTTTCCTAAAGGCATATATTCCTCTCCTTTACTGAAGGCTAATAAGGATCAATTTATCAAATCATCAAAATCTTATTTTCCTTAATTACCCTTGTTATGATATTAAGGCCCAACTCGGCCTAGAACTTATACATGGCATTCTAACTCTTAAGTCGTTGAAATTTATACTTCAACGGAGTCTCTTAAATTAATACGGGTGTTGGACCCACATTAAATCTTTGAAATTCTAAGGACCTATCGTATTGGGCTCGTGGGCGCCCGTCCGAGTGCTTTGCTCGATAAACCACTAGGTTCTTTAAAAGGGATTATTTTTCTTAAAAACTTTTCTTACGAATATTTTCATTAAAACGAGGTTTAATACCATAGTATTTTACTGAAATCACATCTCGGGTTCTTTGATAACTTTTGTTAAAAACCAACACTGTGTTATTTTTATTTTGTTAAAATCGTGCAGTTTTTGAAATCTGCGTTTTACTGCATCTTAGAGTCGGATTTCAAAATTTTGTTCTTCGCGACAATTCTTCATCTCGTCGAGATCTAAAATTGTCAGTTTTGGTGAAAGTTGAAATTCAGCATCTAAAGGCTTCGTTTGGCTGAAAATAGTAGCTGCTGTTTTTTTTTTTCGAAACTGTTTTGGTTAAAAATTATATAGTTTCGGAAATCTGCGTTTTACTACATTTTAGGTTCGGAGTTTGAAAATCTGTTCTTCACGAAAGTTATTCCTTTCGTCGAAATCTAAAACTTTCATTTTTTGAAAAACCCGAGATTCAGCTTCTAAAGGTCTCGTTTGGCTGAACCATTGGCTGCCATGTTTTTTTTTTTTTTTAAACTATTTTGGGCAGCCTGTGGCGTTTTGAAAAATAGCTTAAAACTTACATTTAGAGTCAAAGCTACGTTTTGTCACATTCACAGAAAAATGTTCAAAACATGGAGGGCTATAAGTTTAAGCTTTGAAACACCGAAAATCTCGCTCTAGGGTCCTCATTTTCGTGTTCAAAGTAACCGGAAAATTTTTTCTCCAACCCAAAATAAGCAACTTAAACTAAGTATAAACATACCACATATTGCTAATCAAACTAACCTCAAAACTCGCAAAACCAACATAAAACTCACACACCCTTATTACAACTCATCTCCTCAAGAATCACAAATTACGTCCATAAATTCAAGCTTAAAGTTGGTTAGAAAATAATGGAGAAAAGTTCAAGAAATTACTCTTGAAGAACTCTCTCTTGAAAACCTTTGAGATCCTCCTCTTCTCCTTCAACTTAAACTAGGATTTGTGGTGAGATATATGGGAACTTTTGAGTGTGTGTGAGGTAAGGGCTGGCTGGGTTTTGGTGAGGGAAAAGTTTAGAAAACTTGAAGGTTGAAGCTTTGTAGAACCGGTTTTGGATATGGAGAAAGAAGTAAGATAAAGTAAAAAGTTAGGCTTAGATCACATTGGTTCTATTTATAGATAACTAAGTGATTTAGTTTATTTATTCATTACATCTTTTAGTCTACTTAACTAAACAAAATTTTACTTAAAACCCCTTAAAGATGGCCGGCCAAGGTGAGAGAAAGAGTGAAGAAAAAATGTTATGATTTCCCATTCAACTACTACTATCACATCAATCCTCTAACACACTCAACAACTAACTAAAATTTTTGGCTATAAATCCCTAAGCATGGCCGGCCAAGTGAGGAGAAAAGGAGGAAAACCTAATCATGAGTCATATTCACTTCTCTCATCACACATCATCAAATCACACACACTTACCTACCCCTTGTACTTTTGTCCACTTTCTTAAGTTTCTACCTAAAATTGTTCAAAATTATACTGACTGTACTTTTCTCATGTATATATACTGGATGCTCATTCATACTGTGCTTAGAGATTCTTAGAATTAAGATTCTCAAATTGTATTTGTACTGGAAATTCTTCCGCCTTAAAGTACGTTGAGAATTTAATCGATCGAATTTACTAGATCGCAAAACATGAACTTAACATGAAATCTGCTACAGAATTTAGGGATACAAATGTTAATTCCGTAAATTCTTCAGCCACAAAATATAACCTAATATTTTTTTTTCAGGAAAAATCCTTAACTTAAATACAATAATTACATTATTTAAATTCCAGAATTTTCTCGGTCATTACAAAAAGGACCAAAATAAAAACCAAATAAATAAGTTTTAGGAACAATAGTAAAATAAAAAAAATAAAAGATTTGTTAAAAAAAGGTTGGGGTTTTAATCAAAATGGTGCCGTTTTGATCGAAACCTCGCGAGAACAGTAGAAACCATTATACAAGAAATTTATTTGAACAAGGAGAAATAAGAGGAAAAAAAAAACTTTCCCAATCAACTTTAAAAATATATACGATTTTGGAGAGGAAAGAAGGACAAAAAGAAAAGAGGGAGGAAGAAGAAAAAAAAAATAGTAAGGGGCCAAAAGTATAAAGGGGTGAATTTCGACCAAAACACCCCTGTTTTGGTCAAAAGCCATCGATATTTATTATATAGATAGATAGATTAATAGTGTATGTAGATTTATGAACATTAAATATGATCAAAATTATATTAAAATAGACTGTATGCAAAACTAATAAAGTATAATATAACTATGACGGTTTAAGATAGAATCTTAGGGTATTCTCCTGTTGTGATAATTACACCACATGACAAAATTTCATATATTGATTTGAAATTTAGCAAAATTTTCAGAATACTATAAATATTGCAAAAATGACATAATCATTATCATAATGATGCTACATTTCATACCATGTAATGATATAATCATTATTCTAATGATATCAAAATTTTGTTATTTTTATAATATTTTAAAATTTTTACTATATTTAAAATTTACTATTGAAATTTTGCTAGATGCATAAAGAGCCTTATTTTTGTTTCATACTCTACCGTAGAATTCTCAATCCACTGAATTCAATATTTGTTTTTCCCCAAATGAACAGGATATGCATTTAATTCTTTAAATTTTAGTTTTCCTTTTGCGGCAGTATTGTGAACTAAAAATCACATTTAATATGTGAAAAGATGAGGACCACAACGACAACAAACATACTAAGCAACAATAGTATACAAGAAAAACACCGGCGTTGAAAACGACAATAAGTACAAAACCGACATGAACTGGAGAAAAAGACAAAAACTTAAGAAACAACGTAAAAAAACATAAAAAAAATAAAATAAAATAAAGAAGCCAGCTTGTTTCCCCGAAAAAAATAAGAAATAATAATAAAGCGAGAGCGACATAATCATCAATTCAAGCGTCACTCAATGAATTTCAGTATTTCAACATAAAGAATAGAAAAAGAAAACATCAAAAAACAAATTAGAAAAGAGAAGAAAGAATCTTTTTTAAATAGATGGCCGGCCGGAAGACGTTGGCGCTTTACCGCTTTTGCCCTTGAATTTTTGTGTGAATCACAAGTTGGCCCTTGAGCCTTTTTTTTTTTTTTTTAATAATGAAAACCTGTTGAACTTTTAATTGCTACTATTCCTTCTTCATAGTTCTATTTAATAAATTATTACAGAGCCATTCTCAATCTATAAATGATTTTAAATTTAGAAAGAAACACCTTACTATACTTGACATGATGTCCTCAATTGTTGTTTAATTTCAATCTTTTCCTACAAACGAGATATTTAGTGTGTACGAAGGTATTTTTGTCTAAATTTTAAGAGTCGTCATCCATTTAGGAATACTCTGCAACACTTTGTTAAATTCAATTTGTAATTTACCAAAGTTAAAGTTAAAGAGCAACTTGTCAATCCTAAAAAAGTTCAGGTCAGATTTGCAATAATTGTAGACAAAATTGTACACTTAAGTGCCTTAATTCAGCACTGTAGAATTGCGGATGACTTTCTTTCTTATTACAAGATATTTTGATCAAGAACAAATAGACTTATCTTTTACAAAGGAGAGATCTACTTTTCACATTTACAAAACCGAATTATCGAGCTGTAATTGGATTAGTAATTTGGACAACTTCCTCTGCTTCTAAGGTGTAAGTCCAAGACGCCTCCACCAATGTCTCGGAAAAAGGCTGAGTAAGAACAGACAGACTAAACACAACTTCCCCCATGCTTGGCCTCTCTGTTGACCTCTCCTCAGTACAAGCCTTTGCCAATGTTAATAAGCTCAGAGCCCCATCAATGGGGTACGAACTCTCCAACTTCGGATCCATCCATTTCCTCACATTCTCACCTCTCTTCTCTTCAACTTCCAACACTTCTCTAGCCTCTTTCCACAGCATCACAATCTCACCCGTATTCTCTTTTGTCACCAAGGCTTTCCTTCCCGAGAGCAGCTCCAACAACACAATCCCAAAAGCAAAAACATCGACTTTAGGCGTCGTGGAGTTAGCAGCCGGCATTGCCATGGAGAAATTGGCTATCTTGGCCTTGAACTTTGTGTCAAGAAGTATGTTGCTTGTTCTGATGTCCCTGTGCACAATGCTCGGTTGAGTGTGTTCATGCAAGTACTGAAGACCATTCGCAACGTCTAGTGCAATGTGAAGTCTTTGATTCCAAGTTAGAAATCCCATAGAGCTTGAAGAAGTTGGAGATTTGGAGTGTAGCCATTTGTCTAGTGAACCATTTTCGGTATATTCATATACCAAGAAGAAGTTTCCTTCACTGTTTGAAGAGATCCCGAGCAAGTTCACAAGATTTCCATGGTTTACTTTTTGTAGAATTTGTAGCTCCTCTTTGATGTCTTCTTTTGCCTTTTTCACTGCTAAAACTTTCCCATCAATCATGGCCTTGTATACTGATCCTCCAACCCTGCAGAGTTCATCGAGATTCATTGTGCCCTCCATAATTGTTTGGATGTCATACACTATTGGCTTCCCTAGATAGCCTGACACCCCTGGAAGAAGCTTATCCTGTTTGGCCTGAACCTCAAACTTTTCAGTTTTAGAAAGCTTCTTCATTCGGACCAAATCACTGGACTCTAGAGAGGAATCATTGCGGTTGAAAAGCTTCATTTTCTCATACAAACCAACAGTGTAAACAAGGAAAGTTGCTAAGAAGCAAAGAAGAGCACCTGCTGAGCTTATAACTGTGATGAGAATCCACCGATGTTTGAATGCACTTTTTCTATTGGAGGGATGAGGTTGGGAGAGTGCTGGCAACCGCGGCACGGGGATGAGCAATGGAGACCCCACTGCATCGGTGAAGTTCCGGTAGTTATTTTCGTTTATGATGTCAACTTCCGACGTGTTAAACTTGGTGCTAACTTGAAATATGTCATCCGTTGGCTGCCAAACATAAGTGATAAGATGCTTGATACCTTTTTCCGTTTGGGATTTTGAAGGGCATCCACAGAACAATGGAAAGATCACTTTGGTGCCAATCTTCAAGAGGTTTGGATTCAGACTGGGATTAGTAACCAACACAACGTGCCAATCAGTGAGATTCTCAAAGAAGTAGCGTGAAACTATGAAATAGCTATCGCCCATCTTGATTTCATAGCTGATGTTGGCGAAATAGTGGCTCCCGTTGCAGCTGCAGGTAACAGGCACTAGCAAGAGTTGACCCGGAATCAGCTTGGTAGTCTCAGTAACAAGATTACTAGCTTCTGAAATCAATGAACTCTTGACCCCAAATAGATCAGATATACTTTTCAGATCCATAAAATCTGGCTCCTGAGCAAAGTAAGCGACGTAAGTGTCACAGGAGGCGCCTTGGTTAGCAGAACATGAGAAGTTTGTGCCTGTGGTGGGTGTGGATGGTGACTGAGCTGAAATTTGGGTGACGAAGAAAAGAAGTAGAAGACAAAATGTACAAGTGAAGAGGAAGGACATTTCCATTTTGGTGCGAGATTCGATGTCTAGGTATGAAGTAGTTATGTCATATAAACTCAGTGAAGGAAAGTTAAACTGTAGATTCTCACTAAAAGTTGAAGAAACAGCTGAAAAGCATTGTAAGAAGCTTTGGTTTCATATAAAATACTGACCTTTTGAGACAACACCCTTAAAAAGGGACTTTTCGTCTCTTTCTCTGTTCTCTTGATGATTCTCCCCTAGTTTTTTGCTCAGCCATTTAAAGAAATCAAGTTTAAAATGTGGGGCAGTTTCATCATACGTCATGTCTGCTGATTGCATTCACATTCAAAACAGAATCTGTCAAAGTCATAGGATTAGTTTAAAACTAAAATCAAAAGTAGGGACGGCAAGAAGCAAGAAGATGTCATATTTATTGCAGATACAAAGTCAATATTCCCGAGAATATTTTAACATGATTGCTGAGAATATTCTGACACTTGGTACTAAAATATAATATCCAACGTAGAAGCAGCTAAAGAGTTGTCAGCAGCAAGGGCGTACAACTTACTACCAAAATCTCAAGTGCAGGCGCTCAAAATGCTCATACGTTGGACTTTTGAATAAATCCAATATTGTGTAATCTATACGTATAAAAAATTGAGGACAAATGCAACTAGACAAAAACAAAAGGCAGTTTGAACGGATGATTAGCCATCAAATTAAAATCAAATTCAAAAGTGCCTAATAGAGAGAGATTAAATATATATATATATATATATATATATAAAATAAGAGCGGGGTTCATTTCTCTTTCTAGTGTTTATTCCATTAGAAAGTGAAATGAGAATTAATTCATTTCCTTTTCTATTGTTTACTCAATTTAGGAATAGGAAACTTAGGAATTCTTTCAATACAATTAGTGAAATGTCATTTTACGTAACAAAAAAATGGTGAGACACAACGGAGGGTTCAATATTAATTTCCGAACTTGACTGGAGTACACAAGTAAATTGGTGTTTATTCCTATTATCCGAGAAACCTCCGAGGAGGTGTTAGCTTTGGCATTTTTCTTCTCTCATTCCCTACGTTTTGTGGGTGTCGTAGAATTATTATTCCTACTTTTATAAGTGAACACATGACCGGATAGAAAGAGAAAACACTCCTCATTTTTCTTTCCCATTGATGTGAAATAACAATTACCATGTGCCCTTAATACAGAGTTACTGTTTGATCCTAAAATCCGGAGATAGGCAAGCCATTCAATAGCACATTATCAAGATAACTTTAACTACACCCATACTCTCTCTATCTTCAAATCAAATAGAAATCTCAGTTCACTTGTATTCAACATAAGACGAAAACAGAGAAAAATGCTTGAACCACAGAAAAGACAAACTTCTTTCATTTCTCTTTAAAGCAAAATTTGTTATTAATTGCAAAAAAAAAAAAAAAAAAAAAAAGGGTATACAGATAGTAATGCTTGAATCCAAAATCTTACGTTGCTTTGTCTTACTAAATCCAGTTGAAGCTCTACTCAGCAGTTGGTGTAAAGCTGTTGGAGTAAATGTTGTAAACTTTAGTGAGATCCGCCGAGCTCACTGTCCATATGTGGCCGCGCAACCGGAGCGGGAGGACATCATTTATTTCCTCACAACTCTCTTCCACAGCAGCAGCTTCTCTTCGCTTGCCTTCCTTCCAAAGACTCTTTACAAGCAGCTCCTTTGTGGCGGCATCCGGCAACAAGTTTAAGTTCCTCAAGTCTTCAAAAACTCTCCACGCAAGAGAAGCTCTTTCACACTTGCAATAAGCTTGGATTAGCACTTTATACATATACGCATCTGGCTCAACTCCACTCTGCTTAACCATTCCAAAGAGTCTCTGCACCGTTTTGATGTCCCCGTTCAGCGCAAAATGATGCATCAGTCCTGAAAACGTCTGAATATCGGGGCATATCCCTTGCAAAATCATCTCTTCGAGTTCATCCATTGCATCTGAATTCCTCCCACACTTGGTCAGTGTCCGCAAAAGCGAGGAATACAAAAGCATCATGTTGAAATTCGATATTGGACCACATAAATCTCTATGCTCATGAAAGACCTTCAGAGCAGCATCAGCATTCTTTGAGACACCGTAGAAGTCGATGATTAACCGGATGGTACAGAAGGGCAATCTCATGCCTTCCTTCCTTATTTTGGACATGAGTTCATCAACCAATTCAGCACACCCGTGGCGAGCTAAAAGAGTCATTGTCCTTTGCACTGTGTAAATATCATGAGTAAATCCTGGTTGACAAGCAGCCCAGCAGAAGAATTTCCAAGCCGTTTCTGGCGAATTGAAATTCCTAAGAATCTTGCAAAACAACCGACTAGTCCACACAAACTTTGCATCCTCTAACGCCGACACCTCCTCCGGGCTCCATTTTTGCAAGGCAGTTGCCAAAGCTCTCGGGTCTAACCAACGCTTCAACCGAACCCCAACACCATCACCTCCAGAAGCCTGGACACCATCATCATAGTTGTCGTCGTAGTCATCGTCGTAGTTATCATCACCACAATACTCTACGGTCTTGATCCGTTCGTCAGGCAGCATTTCCTCGAGAAATTCCTGAGTCTCCTGTACAAATCCCACCTCCTTCATTCGTTCCAACGACAAACGCATTGCTCGACCCGGCAGTATTCCGTCAACCTTCATTTCCTCAAGCAAAGTCTGGACTTTATCAAACTGTTTGACACCAGTAAACCCTTCCACCAAAAGAGAATACTGGTTCAAAGTGCGCTTGATCCTCATCAATGGCAAAATACCGAAAACCTCCATAGCCGAATTGAGCTTCCCTGAATTCACAAGGTGCTCGATCATTATTGTGTAGGTTCTGCAATTGGGAATTGCCCCTTCATCAATCATCCTGTAAAAAATCTGAATTGCCTCCGAATCATTGCCCCTGTGCGCATACAGGCGCATGGCAACGTTATAAGACTCGGTGCATACTCGATCGCTCGCGCGTCGATACTCGCCCCACGCCTGCAGGACAGAGTCGAGGTCCCCAGCTGCAGCATGCCACTGCATGAGATTCATGAAGCTGACGCGCACGTTCCCGAACCTTCCGGCATTGATGGCATTGATCAAGGACTTGAGTTCTCCGCTTCTGCGGGACCTGGCGAGGACCGCAGCCAACGAGTGTAGGGTGTTCTGGTTATGCGAAAACTGCGGGACCGTTTCGAGGGCTTCGACAAGGGAGAGAGCAGAGTCCGCGGATGGAGCCGATCGGAGGGCATGAGTAACGACGAAAGAGTCGAGCAGACAGTCGATTAACGCAGCGGAAAGCGAGCTCGGTGGGGTGGAACGGAGCGCAAGACGAATGGAATCGATGTGTTTGGCACGGTAGAGGTAGTGTGAGACCTTATTCGGAAAAGGGTCACGAGCGTAACAGCGAGTTTGGTGAGTTAAGCTTTTGATCAGGCTTATGTTACGGAGGAGTTGCTTATTACAACGCATTTGGAATTAAATAAGCAAACGCATTTGGAATTAACTGAGTGAAGTGAGTCTCATAGACAAAACATCAAACATCTGGTGTGCAATAAAACATAACATAGAAAAAAGAACTCAGTTATTTTGGGTGTTCGGAGGGAATCTAACTTCCTTAATCCGCCATTACAATGTAAGAACGGCTCTAGGATTTCGGAAAGAAAATCGATTGAACCTGAAACAAGAAGAACAAATCTGTGTTTATGGGAAGCAGTGCTTACAGAGAAAATGAAATGGCCATGAGTGACCTTTGCTTTATTGGAAGTCTTCAAGGGTAGTGAACACCGGGATATACGGCCCAAAAAGTTAAATGGGCCTCACGGACGTCATTAGACCCGTTTCCTGTCTGGAGCAAAAAAGCGTGAAAATTAGACAAATTACAAAATTTTACGTATTAAATGCATTTAGCACTAGAAGAAAATTAAGAGAGAAAAATAGAATGTTATAAGGGATTGGACTTCCATATTAAAAAGTCAAATTGTTAAATGGAGTGATCTAATGTGTTTATAAGTTCGTGGTTGTTGTTTTATTTAATTGATGTGGGACTCAATCGGGTTTGTTTTTACCCTTGACATGATATGCATATTCATATGTTTATGTTGTTGGGAAACATGAACATTAAGAAAAATGGGATGCTACTATTCTCGACCCCAATGCCCATGATCTTGAACCTGACCTTGGCATCGTTACCGGAACACAACCCCGATCCCAGTCTAGATATTCGGCCCAAGTGTCGGTCTGGTGATGATCTATGTCCCTAATCTGACCCTGATCTCGATCTCAGCCCTCGACCCCGATCTCAAATCCTGACTCTATTGGATTTTGAAGTATTATTTTAAGTTAAATCAAACCATACTGTTTAAATATCACAATGCATATTGTATTATTAGTTTTCAATTTCGTTTTAAATTGTACGATGCATACAAGTTTCTGAATATTGTATTACTACTCTGAATATTGTATTACTTTTAAATAATACGATTACAGATAGTACATATTGCTCAATTAGAATGATTATAAAGAAGCGTACATTGCATGAAGTTGCATGAGAGAAACAATTCAATTTTAGTAAAAGGGTTCACATATTAATTTGAACGAACTTGGTTTAGTTCCGACCATCAAGATTCAAGAGCGCCCCTTGAACTTTGCCCTCCTGCAGTATTGTTGTTCGCCGATTCCCAGGTGAGTGCATCGCTCAAAGTTCTCGAGAGAAACTGCACAATCTCATCCATTGGTGGGCGAGCTTCGGGATTTTTCTCCAAGCAACTATCAATAATTCTGACCACAAAAGTGGCAAACTCAGAAGGATATTTCCCTTGCATTGATGGATCCATAAACTGCCTCAAACTGTCTTTCCCTTCATCAGCAATCACTTCACTCAATCCATCAGAAAAAAAGTTCCTATTCTCTTCACACAACACAGAAATCTCTTTCCCAGTGAGCATTTCAAGCAATAGAACCCCAAATGCATAGACATCAAGCTTTGAAGAGACCAACCCATTTTGCAAATACTCAGGAGCTAAGTAACCAATTGTCCCTACTATGTGACTTGTCAAAGAAAAATCACCTTCTTTCGCTTGTGTTGCTCTCATTTGACCGAAGTTCGCAATCTTAGCCCTGAAATCGCTGTCGAGAAATATATTACTGCTGTTTATGTCCTTGTGAACATGAGAAGGATTGGTGAAGCTGTGAAGATAATTCAGCCCTGTGGCCACGTCTATAGCGATCTGAATTCTCTGCGTCCAATTCAGAAATTTCCCATCATTGAAGATCCAGTCACTCAAGGGTCCATTGGAAGCATACTCATAAACAAGATACCAATATCCCTCGTTGAAACAAACTCCAGAGAGGCGAATTAGATTGAAGTGGTTTATCTTCTGAAGTAAATTGATCTCTTTTCGAACATCTCCATCCACTTTCTTGACGGCTGCCAAATTCCCCTCAATTTGGCCGCGGTAAACAGATCCTTCAATCAAACAACTAGAGCTGAAATCATCAGTTGCCAGCTTTAACTCCTCAAACTTGTAAACTTTAAAGGGTTGAGCTATATCCGATATGCTATCTAAGAACTCTCGAATTTCTTTCTGAACCTTTCCACTTGCCTCAGAGGTTTTCGTGACAAGAACCGAATCGCTTTTCTTCGTGCTTCTGCGGAAAACATTGCAGAAGACAAAGGTGCCTAAGACTAACAGAAGAGCACTTCCTCCAATAGCACCAAGCAGGGCATAAAGCCAAGTTCTCTTTGATTTTGAGGAAGAACTGGGAGGCAATGGTGCTGGCGGCGGCGGGGGCAGAGACGGTGAAGACAGCGGCGGCTTTATGGTTTGAGAGTTTGACGGTGTCGGTGGGGTTTTAAGAGGAACCAATATAGTAGTAGACGGATATATAGTGTTGTCTAGGTCGGAAAGAAGATTTGTTTTCAGAAGCAATTCATTATCTACACTAAAAGCTTCACTAATTTTTGAATCATCATCATCAGCATCAGTTAAGTAGCTCATTAGATAGTTGACTCCCACATCAGCTTGGTTCTTTGTGGGACAAGCACATCTAAGAGGAACTACTATTCTTTGACCAGTTTCAAGCTCCAAAGGAGGAGGATTACCGGTTTGATTGGCAAAAGCCTGGCATGTCGTCAGGCCTTGGAAGGTGTTATTTGCAAGAGCCAAATAAGTGTCGCCTGACTTGATAATATAAGACGCGTTTCTTTGATAGAACTCACCAGAACACGAGCAGTTGACCGGAACAAACACCAAGTCGTTTGTTTCAAACGTCGAATTCTTCGAAACCGAATTGATCTTGGAGACCTCAGAAGGGTCAGCAGATAAAAGATGAGAGATGGCAATAACGGTGTTGTAAGGAGGAGTTGATCTGAAAGTGAGGTAAGCTTGGCAACTTCTGTTGACGCCATTGCAAAAGTAGCCAAGAGCAGAGCTTTCGTTGTGCTTGCTGTCACAATCTGTGTTGTCCTCTCTTATGTATGGCTGTTGAGCAAAAGTGGAAGAAAAAAGACAAAAGGTTATGATCATGAAGATGGATTCATAGGGAAAAGGAAAACCCATTTTTGCTTGGAAGATCTAAAGTTGGAATTGGAATGTGAATTGAAGAATACATTTAGTGTTAGTGGAAGTTTTGGTGCATTTGAGACTGGCTTTTGTGAGGATTAGTGGCGTGATTATTGGTTTGGAAGAAGCGGTAATTGAGTGGAACCAAGAGGATTGGTTGGTTGACCTTATCTTCTTGGTCTCTCGTCTTCTGTTTAGTTTTGACCAACTCACCAAGTGTAGGAATTGTCTTATATATTCTGTATTTTCTTTTTTCTAATCATTTCTTTGTTTAATGAATTAAATTTTAACATTTTCTAAAAAGAAAAAAAGGAGAAGAAAAGAAGTAGATTTCAACATATAATCATAATTAGTTAGAATTTTAAGGGATTTTGAAGAACTAAATAAATAGAAATTATCCGTTTTACTATGAATTTTTGAATTAGTCCCTCCTGATCTTTTCTATTAAAATTTTTGTTAAAAACTAATAGAAAAAAAAAGAAATTTTGAAGATTTGAATAATTAGAATTTTCTTATCTTATTAATTGAATAAACTTCAGGTGTATTTATACACAGAAAACGTAAACCTGATCTTAAGAAAATTCCCAGATACTAGGAACTACTTTACATATTTCTAGGAATTAGTTTACAATAGAGCCTACAAAGTAGCACCGGTTATATCCATGATTCTAGGAACCTAACAATCCTCTAGATTCAGCTAGTTTGAATTTCAACACTCCACCTCAAATTAGGCGGTATATACTCATTATACCAAGGTTAGAACTTAGTTCCATGAAGTTAGGTCTGAAGAGAGACTTTGTAAGGATGTCCGCGACTTGGTGTTGTGATGGAACATAACTCAGTGATATGATGTTGCCTTCTATTTTCTCACTAATAAAGTGTCTGTCAATTTCCACGTGCTTCATTCTGTCATGATGGATGGGATTTTTGGCAATTGCTATGGCTGATTGGTTGTCACACATCATCTGGATTGGCCCTGAGATGCCAATTCTGAGTTCATCCAGTAGTCGTTTCAGCCATATTCTGTCACGCCCCCCAAACGGGGTGGGTGACGTGGAGCTCGATTAGGGATTAATAAAGCAGATTCCCAGATGAGCCCCACTCGACTGAGTTCATCCAGTAGTCGTTTCAGCCATATTCTGTCACGCCCCCCAAACGGGGTGGGTGACGTGGAGCTCGATTAGGGATTAATAAAGCAGATTCCCAGATGAGCCCCACTTGACTGAATTAAAATATAAATTAAATGACAGAATCCCGAGCCTCTGACACACATGGCTCCACCCCATAGGACATACAGTATCGTACATACATGCTCATGTAAATAATCATTACAACAGACATCAACCACAGTCTAGTTAATCCAAATATTACATAAGTTTACAGAATTCTCAATTCCTTACATTTATATCAGAGGATGCCCACAATCCTCACTTGATTCCAACAGTAGCAATCTTTCGCTACCTTGCACCGCTCCTAGAGTCTCCTGGGAGGGGTTTAATACATTTGAAATATAAAACGTGAGCGAAAGGCCCAGTAAGATATAATTTGAAATGACTTTAAAATAAATGAATAATAAGTGAGCGAGGAAATAAATAAAGGAATAAGTAAATAAAATAAGACATTCAGTCCCGACAGAATAGCCGGAACCTCACATCCTTTTTCTCAAAGGAAATATAACTGTAAATAACCGTTTTACAGGCTTCAGCAAGTAATTAGTACAAATTACTTACCTAACCAAGTGCCTCGCCTACCCGGACCGAGTTTCGGGTTCTGTCCCCGAGGATGCACTCTCCGCATCCTATCTAGGCTTACAGCAATAGACTCTTTTACCAGTTCACAAGATCTCTTTGCTTAAGAAATCATTCATTAATTTTTCTGAAATCATTTTTATGCCCCCCCGAACTACTCAAGCCGCGGGCCCCATGACTGGGCAAGCCATGAGGTTCCATGACTAAACAAGCCATGGTTTTCAAAGAGTTTTTCTTTCACAAACCAACCCCTTTCTTTAAAACATTTCCAAGGCCAAAATCTTTTGAAAACAGGCTCACAAGGAAAAGGGATAGAAATCCTACCTCGCACGATCAAACCTGGGACTAGCATTGCCTTTTCTGACTTCCGCTTTCTCAAGCCCCTTCAGTCTGAATCCTCAGCGATAACTGATGCAAAACAACGCTTTAGGATTAATTCTCACTCCTAAAGCAATCCAAATCTCAATTTCCAACCAAGATTTCCTATTAGTGTGCCCTAATCCATTTTCATGTTTCAAATTATCATTCCAAGGGTTTTCAATCCCAAATCAAGGATTCAAGATGCTAATCCGTTCATCTCAAGTCCCCAAATGAAGCTAATTTGGGTTCTCCTTGAAAACAGGGGTCAAAACAACATTTTCAGGCCAAACAGGGTCAAACCCCGTGTCAACCGGTCGACCGGTGACAGAGCAGTGCAACACTACCGGTCGATCGGTCAGCCTGCAATCTGGTCGACCGCATAGGTCGACCGGTTTCCATGTGATCCGGTCAACCGGACAGGTCGATCGGTGGAATCAGCTGTGCGAGAGAAGCGCGCAGAAATCAGTCCAAAACCTGCAAATCCAGTCCTAAATCAAAATATTTCAAAGGGAAACCACTAGATCTGGGTTCTAGGTCCTAAAACAAGTCCAAAAAACCCAAGATCTCCAATTTCTACTCTAGTTTTACTCAAAAACCATCAAAATCCGGTTTGAACCAAAAATAAGTTTTGAAATTCAAAAACTTGAGATTCAAGAGAGGTTCTTTCAGTAATCTTACCTCGAATCCTTCTCTTGACGTTGAAAACTTATTTAAATCTTTCCTCAGTTCAAGATCCGTTTGATTTGGGACAAAAATGAGAGAGAGAGAGAGTGAGAGAGAGCACGGGAGAGTGAGAGAGAGAGTGAGGGAGAGAGACGCACGAGAAAGGAAGGGAAAAAGAAAGGAAAAGGAAAAGGAAAGGAAAAAGGAAAAAGAAAAGAAAAGGAAAAGGAAAGAAAAGGACACGTGTACAATATTTTAAAACAATAGTCCAGAAATGCGCCCATACACACTTCTGGGTTAAAATAAATTACTAAGAATAATTTAAATACCTTGGAACTATTTCAACTCACACGTGTCAGAAACATTTATTAATTAATACTCAATTAATAATCCAGATTAGGCACAGTAATAATCTCAATTATCTTAATTAATCTCAATTAATTCTTCAGGGTGTTACATATTCCCTCGCAAATGCCCTGAGCTAAAGCCCTAAACTCAGCCTCGGCGCTGCTACGTGCTACCACTGGTTGCTTCTTACTGCGTCATGTCACCAAATTCCCCCAAACGTAGGAGCAGTACCCTGAAGTGGACTTTCGGTCACTTGGAGATCCTGGCCAATCTGCATCTGTGTAGATTTCTAAGAACCGATTGACTGTTTTCTTGAACAATAATCCCTTTCCTGGATCCCTTTTAAGATACCTGAGAATGCGAGTTACTGCCTCCATGTGATCTTTTGATGGATTGTTCAGGAATTGGCTAACACGGCTTACGGCAAAGCTTATATTCGGGCGAGTGTGAGTAAGATAAATCAGTCTTCCCACCAAACGTTGATATTGCCCTTTATCCATTGACATTTCTTTAGTCCGAGATTTTAATTTAGTGTTGGGATCCATAGGAGTTTCGGCTAGTCGGCACCCACTCATACCAGTTTCTTGTAGTAGATCTAACACATATTTGCGTTGAGAGACCGAAATTCCTTTGCTTGATCTTGCCACCTCCATTCCTAGGAAATATCTCAGAAGTCCTAAGTCCTTGATTTCGAATTTCCTGGAAAGTAGAGCCTTGAGTCTCCTCATCTCTTCTTCATGATTCCTGTGAGCACTATATCATCAACATAAACAATCAGGATTATCACCCTGTTGTCAGTAGAGCATTTGATAAACAGTGTATGGTTGGCCTGAGATTGAGAGTAGCTGTCGAGTTTTAGCACTTTTGTGAACCTATCAAACCATGCACGGGGCGATTGTTTGAGCCCGTATAGTGATTTTCTGAGCTTACATACCTTTCCCTTTGTTTGATCATTCTTAAACCCAGGAGGAATATCCATATATACTTCTTCGACTAAATCTCCGTTTAGGAATGCATTTTTCACATCTAATTGGAGCAGCGGCCAATCTTGATTCACGACAATTGATAACAAAACACGTACCATGTTAAATTTGGCTACAGGTGCAAATGTCTCCTGGTAGTCAATTCCGTATGACTGTGTGAACCCTTTTGCCACTAATTGAGCCTTGAATCGGTCGACACTTCCATATATTTTTTGTTTGACTGAAAAAATCCATTTGCATCCAACTGTGTGCTTCCCAGGCGGTAAAGGTATTAGAATCCAGGTTCCATTTTTTTCGAGTGCTCGGTACTCTTCCAAGGTTGCCGCTCGCCATTCAGGGACTTTTAGAGCTTCATGAACTGTTGCCGGGATCTGAAGTTTGTCGAGAGCTGTCACAAATGCTCTAAACTTCTGGGACATGTTTGCCTAGGTCACGTAGTTACCGATGGGATGCTGAGTGCATGACCGGACTCCCTTTCTTTATGCAATGGGCAGGTCTAAGTCTGAATTCTGATTTGCTGGTCTTTCTGTACATTCACCATCAATCTGCATACTAAGATCCACTTCACCTTGTGCTATCTCAGGGTTTCTTGAGCTCGAGATTGAGTCATGGTGTTGCTGACCTTGTTTAGGTACTCGTTTTCTCCTGGTAAAGACTTTTATGGCATCATTAGGAAGGGTGAGATGTTTGGGATATAGTGAATTGGTAGAGGAAGTACTTGGTGGAACAGATGTGTTTGGCTGAGGAGATGGACATGGACATAGTGGAGAACTTGATGGACTCAATGATGACATACTCGGATCAGGTAGGTTAGAGAGAGTAGGAGAGAGTGAGCCCGAATCAATGAAAGAAGTCCAGTCCCAATTTTGTGATTCACGTGTGCTATTCTCCCCCTGAAGCGTAAAATTGGAGAAGAAAGGCTTGTTTTCAAAAAAGGTGATGTCCATTGTATGGTAGAATTGATTGGGAGTAGTGTCCTAGAAGCATAAGATGTAATAGGATATTTATTATTTAATTAATAAAAGAGTTTATTCATC